TTTTATATATCCACCTCTTGCTCGAGTTACAGTCTGGTGTTCCCATCAAAATACTAAGGCCAAAGTGAGCAGAAGTCTTACAGGTATGATTATGTTGGGCAGGATTAGTGGGAGTTGGGTTGGCTGAAAAGAAGCCAGATGCCAAAACTGGTTACATCAAATTAAACCTTAAGTGTAGAGATATTTTTCTTGGTAAACAAATTATCCCACAGAAGGACAGCTAGGTTATTTCTGCATGTTTACATGATGCTAACAGTTAATGAAGCATAAGCTAGTTCCCCACAGAAAACTGTCCTCACCTGAAAGTCCTCTTCTAAGGAAGAGATGATGTTAAAATGTTAAGAAATCTCTATCCTTAATGTGCTGTACATTGAGATTTAATGCTATAACTAGTACTCAAACAGTATTTTTCACTTTGTGTTTCTATGTGGATGCAAACTGTTGAAATCTTTACTTAATATATGCTAAACTGATCTTCTGTATATAAAGAGAATTGAAAATGAATCTTGATGTGGATGCAAGGGGAGAGGGAGCAGGAAAGGGGAGGGTTGCGGGTGGGAGGGAAGTTATGGGGGGGAAAGCCATTGTAATCCATAGGCTGTACTTTGGAAATTTATATTCATTAAATAAAAGTTAAAAAAAAGAAAGAAAGCATTCTTAAAGACACTACCACCCTGTTATGAAAAGCAAAATGCATTACACTCATCATTTTGAAATTTCAATCACCTCTTTTTGAGGGGAAGATATGGCAAATGTTTCTAGAGAACACATTTATACAATTTATGCACCGTCATTCAGTTGCAAACAAAATCACTGCCCCTATAAAAATATATTTAGAGAACAAATGTTTTATGTGGGGAGATACACAACGGAATATTACTCAGCCATTCAAAGGGTGGAATCCTGTTATTTGTGGCAAAATAAATAGAACCGGAGGACATTAAGTAAAATGAGCCAGGCACAGAAAGGCTAATATCAAATGTTCCCCCTCATATGTGGAAACTAAAAAGTTTATCTCAAAGGAGAAGCGAGTAGAGTAGTGATTACTAGAAGCTGGGAAGTGTGGAAAGAGTGGGTACAGAGCAGGGGTTGGATAATGGGTACCAAAATACAGTGAAGTAAGAGGAATAATGTTCTGCATAGTAGCATAACCATAAGGAACTGTAAGACAGGAGACCAACGGCTCCAAACACAAAGGAATGATAAGGAGCTAGAAATGCTAATTATCCCAATCTGATCATGCCACACTCATTACACTCATGAAATTTATGATTATTATTTGTCAATACCACTCACCCAGACAGAATGAGGCATCCAACGAATGTAATATGACAACCCACAAGATAGTGTAATAGAACTGAAATGGGTTACAAAAGTAAAAAGACAGTCTTTACCCTGAAGAAGTCCTCATGTTTTAAAGAGAATCAAAAGAGGAAAATTAGCACATGCAGGTAAATTAACATTTACATAAATATTCACCCAAGAAAGCCCAGTGTTTTATGAATAGTATGGTAGACTAATCTTGATTCTAATGTATCTTCCTCATGCTCAGGTAATAAAGATTTGTGTTTTTTAATGCTCTAATGTGCTTGCTTAAAAAACAAAACAAAACAAAACAAAAAAACCCTCTTACTTACTGGTGAATAGGCATTAATATAGTCCCCCCCCCAAAAAAAAAAAAAAAAAACGAAAATGAACTGAAACCAAAGACTAGTTGAAAAGGAGACAACTAAGTTCAGATCAGTAGTAAAACTAAAGCTTACAAGAGTTTCATTGGCTTTACCGCTGTACCATATTTCTGATTTGGAGAAGCAAACAGCAATACCTTATGAAGAAGAATTACCATAAATTACAGAAGCTGAGGAATATTTTGTAAATTATGAAAATCCCTGAAAGCCCAATTTATTGTCAGATGGATTAAGAAAATATGAATCATTTCAAACAAAACTCTATAAAGAAAATTACACACACATACACACACACGTGGGATTCTACTATATATAAGAAGTAGTATATAATAAAGTCACCACAAGATTTTCCCCACAAATCTACTTACAGGAGCAAGTGTGCTTGCTTTGGAAACTTCTTTTAAATTTAGGGGTTTTGACAACAGTATTTTCCCTTGCCATTTACAGACTTAGTAGTAAGAGGGAGGGTTATTAATTATTGCCCTGATCAATTAACTTATGTCAAGACATAAATTATGTGTAGAGACAAAGGAGCCCTGTACACTGCTGGTGGGAATGTAAATAAATGCAGCCATTATGGAAAAACTGTATGAAGGTCGTACAAAAAACTAAGAATAAAATTATCATGTGATCCAGCAATCCTACTTCTGGATATATACTCCAAAGACTCGAAATCAGAATGTGGAAGGGTATCTGCTCTCCCACGTTCTACACAGCACTATTTACAACAGCCACAGGATGAACTCAATCTTAGTGTATACAGAAGATGAACGAATAAATAAAATGTGATGTATAAACACAATGGGAAACTATCTAACCTTAAAGAAGATAGAAATTTGGGAATTTGTGGCAATACAGATGTCACTGGAAAGTGTTATGCTAAGTGAAATAAGGCTGGGACAGAAAGTGAAATGTCACATGTTCTCATATGTGGAATTTAAAACAACTGACCATTCAAACAGAGAGTAGATGTTGTCTATCAGAAGATGAGAGGTAATGGAAACAGGGAGATGATGGTCAAAAGCTATAAAGCCTCGGGAGAAATGATTTCTTTTTAAAACCGTGATCTATTGCACAGCATAATGAAAACAGTTAATAGTAGTACACCATGTATTTCAAAGGTATAGAGTAAATTTCAGATGTTCTCACTACAAAATAAGTATTTGAGGTGATGTGCATGTTAATTGATTTGATTTAATTATTTGATATTGTAATTGTAAGTCATGTCATTTTGTATCCCAAAAATGAAATCAGTTGTTTTTTTATAAAAAATAAATTTTAAAAAGATATAGAGCATGGATTGGGGTCAAGTTTTTTGATTCAAGTTTAATTTAGCCACATGCATGTTAGATATCTGACACATTTTTATTTTAGATTAGTGCCATACTAAATTCCATTTCTAATCAAACTCAGGATTCATTTCTGAGCATCACAAAAAATCAATTTTTATCAAGCTAGAATTCCCTTCTTGAACACAAAAATTAGAAACACCCCCTCCATACAGGCTTGCCTTCAATTAATTTTCACTTATTGAATGTATCTAAATCATTCAAGAACTTGGACTTAATTTCAAGCTTGTACCACTTCTCCAGGTTATAAACGTGATATCCCAATTAAATGTTTGGAACAAGACTTCTCGAAGTCATAACAGACATACAAGTGCTACGGCATTATTCACACTTTAAACGATTATACACTGGTTTCTTCTATACATTTGCCTTCATAAACTGAATGTCACCTTAAGGTCTGTGCCTAGATAATGTTCTTTTCATCCCTTGGTAATTTCCTAGTTCATAAAATTAGCATATTAAAATTAGCATGTAGCACTACAGTAAAAAGTAATTAGTTTTCACCAGTGGTTTTGAGGAAGATATGAGAATTACCATAAATTATTTGAACTTTAAGTGCTCAGTAGGTCTTTTCCATTATTAACACCAGGGAAATCCCTTAGGGATGGTCGAGTAGTCTGAAAACCTTTCCCCTAAAAGCCCTCCTCCTGCCCACAAACCTGCACCCTTCATTTCTTGGAAAAGCTGATCCCTCAGCCTATGCCTGCTTCGATGGCCTCCCTCTTCTTTCATTAATCACATCTTGTTCTTCCCTTCACCAGACGCCTGCACTTGTGAGGCTTTTTCATAGCCTTTATCTTGATTGTATCATCCTGTGCTTTGTTTTCCCCACTGGGTTTCTCTCTTTTTTTAAGGGAAGAAACTATGATCATTATTTTACCACACGACCTTCAAAGCTAAGGCTAGCACAGGAACTAAGCCTTTTCTTAGAACCCGATCATTTTTCATCTCAGTGAGTTTTATAAAAACTGGGAGAAAAAGAGGCTAGAGATACTGTTCTCAAACTCACATATGATATTTAAATCCAAAAAAACAATTCACACACTATTCAAACTAATTAAGAACAGGTACACATGATTCCCCACTCATCAGACAACCTGTATGGTGTCTAATCAAAAAGAAAGTAAGAGAGGAGAAATAATTGAATAGAATTAGTAATAGCTACATTTGCAGCTATTTGGCTAGAGGTTTCCAAATCACAGAGGTTTTACATCTCCACATGAGACAAATTTCATCTTTACATGAATTAAGAACTTTTAGGTATCATCTTGTGCTCCATAAATTCGACTGATTGAAAAAAAAAAAGATATTTCAGTCCTAATCTAGTAATCTGCATTCACTCATAGGATAAATCTAAATCCTTTATTATAATTCTTAACTAAATTTTAGACTCATTATATGAGTAAACAAAGTGAACTTTATTAGACATCTATAAACAGATATCTATTAGAGTTTCATTTGTGAAAACAGCTTTGACTTCAGGAAGAACAGCTGGAGAAATAGTCAAGAGACATGGAGAGTTTTGGAAGAATTGGTTAGATTGAGAATGAAAAATTCAGGATAGAGAGTCAGGTGAAATAAAAAATAAAACACCATTTCTGGAGTTGACAGAAAAGACCACTAATTATGTCATAAATAACTTATATTCTCCCAATTGCATTACTATTACTTAATAAATATGTAAATTCTATAATATCAGATTATAAGTCAATATCATCTAAAAAATTGCATTTAAATTTGTAGATATTATCACAGCTAAGGATACCAGCATATTCTCAATGGTACCAGCAAGTGGGTAACTTCTATTATTAATTATATAATTTTAATTTCTGTCCTCTTTAACCCTCTTTGGACCTTACAGTAACATTTCATGAGCTACCTGATAAAGAAAATGGCTTCAATTCCAACAGGAAATAATAATGGGTACAGCTGTAGCCTTTGTTTTTTGCTTCAAGCACTTTACCTGATTCTTGAGATCTAGCCTGGGACACGGTCGACCTCCATTATAAGGTTTCTCTTTCAACCATTTGGATCGAATTCTCACTCCAATCCCACAGGATGAACTGCAGGAGCCCCAACTAGACCAATCGCTTAACTTGCAATCAAATGGGCAGGGAACGACACACTCTTCTTGAATATAACCTGAAAGGAAAAAGATTTGAGAAGGGAGGGAAGACTGATAAACAGGTACTAATCAAATACACTTTCATTTCCATTATCACAGATCATGGTTTTCAACAATACTGCTACAGCAGCTTCAAGAATTTTTACTGCAGATAAAAAGGCCCAAGATTTAAGATATAAATAAATAACTTCAGCATTCAAATGTGTGCCCTTCTGTTTACTGCATATACAAGTATGAGATGGAAGAAACAGGAAAAAGCACACAGTTGGTTTCACTTTCTGAAAAGGAGAACAGACACAGTACAGGACTGAAGAAGGCACCACTTCCTCTCGTTGGGGTTTGTGTTCCCCGTTCTACAGTTCCTGCAGTTCACATCTGCAACAGGGAATATAATAGAGTTAATACTTTATTTTTAAGGTTTATTTATTTATTTGAAAGGCATTACAAAGAAGAAGAGGGAGGGAGAGAGAGAGAGAGAGAGAGAGAGGTCTTCCATCTGCTGTTTCCCTCCCCAAATCGCTGCAGCTGCAAATGACTGCCCCAGTGGGCAGGAGCTGGGCCCATCCAAAGCCAGGAGCCTGGAGCTTCTTCTGGGTGTCCCATGTGGATGCAGGGGCTAAGGACTTGGGCCATCTTCCACTGTTTTCCCAGGCCACAGCAGAGAGCTGGAAAGTAAGTGGGGCAGCCAGGACTCAAACTGGTGCCTACATGGGTTACTGGTACTGCAGGGAGTGGCTTTATCCAGTATACCACAGCACCAGCTCCTAGAGATAATATTTCTTCTAGGTCTGTGATCTGCACAGCTTTCACTAAGAAACATATTGATTCTTGCTTCCATTTAGTGTGGCTTGGTGGAGGAAATAGGAGGCCAGAAAGTGAATCACAAATTACAAAGATCAGGATATTATTGAACGAAAAAATAGAGGAATAGTAAAAAAGTTGGACAATGGGAAACTGCACTGGAATCATGAGATAATGTGTTGAAATACAGCTCCAAAAGTTTTAGCTCTACTTGGCATTGCTCCTGTCTTTAGCCAACTTTTTTTTTTGTAAGGTTTCTTTATTTATTTTGAAAGTCAGAGTTGCAGAGAGAGGGAGAGACAGAGAGAGAAAATCTTCCATCCTCTGGTTACTCTCCAGATGGCTGCAGTGGGCAGTACTGGGCTAGGCTAAGCCAGCTGCTTTGAACTCATCCAAGTTTCCCACTAGGTAGAAAGGGCTCAAACACTTGGGCCATCTTCCGTTGTTTTTCCTGGGCTGTTACCAGGGAGCTGGATCAGAAGTGGAGCAGCTGAACATGAACCAGAGCCCATATGGGATGCCAGCATGAAAGCTGGTGGCTTTTCCTGCTATATACAACACCAACCCCAAGCCTACTTCTTAATATAATATTTCCCTGTATAATTTCAGTCTTTTAACTACTAGCTCTCTTGGGGCCAGCATTGTAGCACACTAGGTTGAGCCATATTTTGCAATGCTGACACCCTATATGAGTGCTAGTTTCAGTCCAGGCTGCTCCACTTCTGATCCAGCTCCCTACTAATACATTTGGGAAAGCAGTGGAAAGTGGCCCTAGTACTTGGGCTCCTGCCTCCCACATGGGAGATCCAGGTGGAGTTCCAGACTCCTGGCTTTGGCGTGGCCCAGCACTGGCCATTGTGGCCATTTGGGGATTGAACTAGCAGATGGAAGATTTCTCTCTCTCTCGCTGCAACTCTACCTTTCAAATAAATAAATAATTTTTTTAAAAATTAATTACTACCTCTATGATAACTACAATAAATATCTGCAAGACTGATGTTCCTACTGAATTCTATACTACCTACTTAACAACTATACTTGGATACCAAATTACCCCAAATTCAGAAGATATCCATTTCTTCTAGAATATTCTAAGTCTCTTGCATTTCTCACCTCAAGTAACTGCAACAGCTTCTCATTACTGTGCCCTGCTATACATGTGTGTATAATCTCTTCTCTCTGAGTGTGGGTAGGAATTGTGACTATGACAGGATGCCATTTTGGTAATCAGGTTATGGACAATGGCAAAAGTGAAGGGAACATAACAAATATAGTTGGTGTGTCAAATAAATGGATTAGTTTCTTTTTTAAACATTTGTTTTATTTAGTTGAAAAACAGAGAGACAGAGACAGAGAAAGAGAGAAAGAGAGATTTTCCATTCGTTGTTTCACTCCCCAAATGACTACAAATGGCCAGAGCTGAGCTTATCCAAAGCAAGGAGCCAGGAGGTTCCTCCGGGTTTCCAACGTGAGTGCAGGGCCATCCTCTGCTGCTTTCCCAGGCCATAGCAGGGATCTGGATATGCAGTGGAGCAGCGGGATGCTGGGGCTGAAGCCTGGGGCTTTAACCCACTCCTCCACAATGCTAGCACCAAGTTGATTAGTTTCAATGAAACAAAAAGGAGATCATTCTGGGTGAGCCTGACAATCAGGTGAAAGGTCCATAAAAGTGGTACTGAGCCTTTTTAGAATCTTTAATTGGAAATTGAACTCTTTATACTTACAAGACAATGAATTTTACACACCTGAAATGGTATAAAAATTATGAATTACAAGGAAGATTGCAATATGAAATGGCCATAAAACACAGCTAAAATGGCCAAGCATTTTCTCTTTTCAGTTTATTAATGCTAGCTTAAATGTTGTCAAAGAAACAAAGAACTAGGTTTTAGGAGAATTCTAGGACCTTCAGTCGATTGAATTTCACAGTGTAGTGTCCCAAATAAGGGAAAATAAACAACTTCCCCCGACACGCAAACCCAGTATAACACACGGTAATTTCACTTTTGGAACTTTGCTTCAACCTCCTTCATAACAATTTTCAACAAATCCAAAGCAAAGGAGAATGGATCCAGTAGAGACAACAGAATTGGTGGTCCTTGCAGAGAGGGAGAAAGATGATTCAGTTATGCGTGGCCAGGTAGCACCTCCTGGGCTCTTCTGAGTCCAGCTCAAGGCCAGAATCTGAAGCGTCCCCTGCTTAAGCACAAACGTGAAAGTCAAACTTGCTAACCCACACCCCAGCTTAGGAATCTGACAAGTGCTTAAGTCAACAAGAAACTGAGACGGATCAAATAAGAAAGTAAAGAGACACTGACTAGGGTATTTTATCTTTTGGGCACATCATGAAGGTACACAACCCAGGTCAGAGCAGGAAAGGCAATCAGCGTGCCACCGTAAAATGATGGAGAACAAGGGAAATCTGTCCCAGTTTCTCTAGAAATATCCTCTCCTGAAGATGTGAAGATGAGAATTTCTGTTGGAAAGTTTCGCTTCTCTCCACATCTCTGCAACAATGAACTTTACAGCAGGTTCCTGTATGGGGTTCTTTTTGTAGACAGATAGTCCTGCCATGCTATGAAATACAAATGAAGGGACCACATGGTCGAGAACTAGGAGCAGCCACCAGGGCTTGAGGGCAGCCGCTGGGTGTCAGCCAGCAAGAAAACAGGGACCTCAGTTCTCCAACTGCCTGGGAATGAATTCTGCCAAAGCTCAGAGGATTCCAGGGAGAGCTTTCCACAGTCAACCCTCTGCTGAGACCTCAACCTTGGCCCACACCTGGATTATAGTCCTGCTTTTTCTGCAAAGAATCTAGAAAAGCTGTGCCTGGACTCTTCACCCATGGAAGCTATGATACAATAAAGGTGGTTTTGGGCTGCAAAGGCTGTGGTGATTTATTGTGCAATGATTAACAACTAAGAATTATCCAACATAAAAAAATTTCAATTTATCATAGACGCCCTCATTCTACATATGCATTAATACATTTCATAAATTCTTACATTGCAAAACCATAAATATGCCCCTTCACTTGCAATTCCCTTGTCAGTCCCCTGTTCAGGAGCTCACCACGTCTCAGAATAATGCAATGTTCTCTCTACTAGTATTTCTTTCTAATTGTTCTCTTTGGTATCTATCAATCACTCTGAGTAAAATATTCTTTTCTAAAATACATAATAATTACATTACCCCTTTTTATAAAAATTTTGCTGATGCCCCACTGCCTTGCAAATAAAATACCAACCCGCCCATTTTGCAAAACAAAAATCAAATTCTTGATGAAAGTTCTAAGCAATGGCTGTAGACCTTGGCTGTAAAATATGACTCCACTGCTGGACACAGATCATAAACTAATTAAGCCAGAATCTCAGAGGATGGGACCCTGGCATCAGTAGTTTGTAAAGAAACCCAGGTGATCCTAACGTACAGTCTGGGTTGAGAACCACCTCCCTAATTTGTTTTTGCTCCCACGCTTCCTTTTCCTGTATCTGAAATTATACCTACACAGACTAATTAACCTTCTCCAATAATAGGTATGCTTTTATTCTTTCAAAATAAGTCATTTTCCTAACCAATTTGATGTCCCTGATTCAATACTGTAGCTATTCTCTGACCAATATAGTTGAACTCCTTGTCCTAGTGCCCTTCTGCCATGCCACACTGTCAGAACATCAGCCCTGCATGAAACCATTTGTTCTCCTTCTCTCTGCTTGAAACAGGACTATGGAACGTAAATGAAGAAATCACTCGTACCACGCCAGCAATACTTTAGTGCATAGTTTCCGTCTTCAACCATATTCTCTCCCAGCCTGGCCATTCCTCTGTGTTTTCTTCTAATTCTCTTTCTGCACACCAGCTCCTTCAAACCTGCTCCACCTACTTTTACACTCTTAAGATCTCAGTGCTTTCTCAATCAGAAAAATAGAAAGCCATGCATGAGGAGTCTTTCAGTTTCCTAGGAATATATTTGTGTGCATCCCCATTATTTTTCTTCTTACTTTATATTTAAATGGAAAAGGCACACATAAAACCTTTATAAGGCAACCTCTTCACCTCTATCTGATACATTTCCAACTCTTTTCCAGGCTCTTTTCAAGTCTTCTCTTCTTGACATTCTCTCTCTCCCTGTCTCCCTCTCTCTCTCTCTCCCTCTCCCTCTCTCCTTTACATTAATGTTAGTGTACCTTTAAATTTCACAAATAATATTCATTGA